GTAATCTGCATTATTTCTGTACTGTAGCTCATTTTGGTAGGATCCAGATACTAATTTAGTAGAGATATATGAAAGAACACTGTCCTAAGCAACTTCAATATTCTTTGTTGTGACTATAACCTATTGTGTTCCCTCCAGGATGTGGTTATTTGTGTTTATTTTGCCCTGAGAAGGGACTGTCATAGTCTTCTCATTGGTTGTATTTATAATAATGTATCTTGCTCTACAAATTAGGTAGCAATGCATGCTATTGCTTTCAAATTGGTCCGTTTCCATTACCTATGCAGGATTAAGTAAATAACCTACAGACCCAATAGACCTGATTTGGGATGGACATGAGTCACATCTCTAGGGAGCACCTGACACTCAGTAATTCCCTCTCCTTGCTGTAGACCAGAGCATCTCTTTAGATCCCCAATATTAGAGTCAGATAGCTCATTCCTCAAAGTCCTACAGAACATACACATGTGTCTCTCTTGGGGGAATTATCTGCTAAATAGCTATCAATCTTTTGAAACAACTACAAGAATACATTCTGAATATTTCTGTACTGCATCTCAAGGATCCTTTATCGTGAAGAAGTAGAATTCCCTCTGTCACTAGACTCTGGTCCTCTCAGTTTGCTCAGTACCTCAGACTGGATGATAGGCTATAACTATTCACTTAACAGCATGGGTCAGGAACCAACTTTCCAGCTTTGATTTGCTTGCGATTTATAATATTGATCGTCAGGCACAGAGATGCTTCAGCTACTGTCTGAGACACAGATTTTATGAAGCTGCTGCTCTCATCACTTCTGTGAGTCTCACCTTTGCAAGATCATTAGTGCTTTTAAACTGACAATAACCTATCAGCAACAGGGAGAAAACTTCTGTGCTTTTCAGCACACCCTTCGGTCCTGGTTTCACACCTTGCTCAGTGGGCACCACTTTCCTCTTCCACCTGAGCAAGAAAATATCAGAGAGGCCAGTGGATCAGACTTCAAGCCATTACAAGAAATTCTGACCTTGCTGGTGATCCCATAGTCTCCTTACTGAAAACAGAACTTAAACATTCCACAGAGATGAAGAAAGCTGATTCTTCTCATGTCTCCCTATGTATCTGTGTACTTACTTTTATATGTATGCATGCATGCATCTATCTATGCATCCATTGTCCATCTGACCATCTGTCTGTCCACACATCTATCTACCCATCACTTCTCTCAAATTAGAAAATCTACTTTTTCCCCCTTCAAATATAAAGATTACATTTAGAAGTAGCACTACTGAAAATGAGGGAGAAAAGGGGCCTCCAATAATATTTCAGGTTGAATATCTACCAAATCAGTGGGTAGTGGGGGTTGAAGAAGAGCCCCAGAGGGGACAATGTAGCCCTCACCAAGAATCCAACTTCTGTCCAGCTCCCGTTCCACACAACCCCACCCCAGGTTTGTTTGCATTCCTGTCCTCTTCCCTGAGATCATCTTTTCCCCCCACAGGGAGTCAAACCAGGGGAACGTCCTGCCTTTACACAGATGGTATGCTTCTCTTTTCTTTTTAGTAATTGTCCTTAAATTTTGATCATGCTGTCCAATTTTCTTTTTTAATATATCTCCCTACTAATTGTAGAGCATTTATAAGAATGTTCAGGATATATTGTACTCGTTTTCTTTCTTCAGTATTGGTTTTGGGGACCAAGAGAGTGTCAGATATTCACACTGAAAAACCCCATCTATCTTTCTGACATCACTGGAGTTTAAGATACATGTTTTTCTGATGTCTTTGCTATCATTTCCTGTATTATTTTCTTTGGTTCCTTGCCTGCTCTGCAGTTATTAAGAAGGGGTGGTCGTGTCATGGTGCTTATGCTACATCTTACTTCAGTGCCTGCAGTGAGGGGGTCACAGAACAGATGTTCATGGGAGGAGAAGGGAAGAGTGTAAAATGTGAAGGTCTTTGATGCTGGTGAAGGATGAGCCTCACTGGGAAGAGAGAATCTGAGAACGAGGAGTGTTCTTGCTGTGTGGTTGAATTCATTTTTCTTAGTGGCTGCTTCATGGGAACTCAGATTCATTTTCACCACTTTCTACAGGCACTGAAAAAATATTTCCAGAGTTTACTGAATATTCACAGTTGATACTTTTTAATGTTGTCTGGGAAGCATTTATAAAACTGCATCTTAACAAATATCATGAAACTAAACATGAACTAGATACATAAGTCATTTCAAAACCTGAATTATAGGCGTGGAAAGAGAATGGAAATAGAGTCTAGTAAATACATATGTATATGTAAAAGTAAAATCATAAAAAAATGTTAATCTTATCACCCAGAACTTTAGGAGTACTGACCTCAAAGAGATTGTAAGACAACTCTGATACTGTATAGGGGTCTCATCGATAATTTTGTGATTTGTGTAAGTTCTCAGAGCTTAGCAAGGTACTTATATTTTTTGTCTGCTACATGTATTATAGTTTTTGCAACATTACTTGCTCAGAACTCATGTTGCCAGACTGAAATACGTTGATAAAACAAAAATAACAAAACAGTGCAAATAAATATTTCTTTGTTTGCATGTTAGCACAGGAAACCACAATGTACCTTCCTCAACAAAAAACTCCAGGATATTATATGTATGTTACACAGAGTCTGGATGAAGCTAAGAAAGGGGAAGATTTTCATGAAGAAAGCTATGAGCCAAATCATTACAAAATCTTGATATTTCCTTGCTCAGCATTGTACTCACAACAATATTTTCAAAGGCAGAATATTTTTGAACTTTCAATAATCACATATATATTTAAATGAATGCATTGACAGAGCATCAGCAGTAACATTGAAAATTAGTGCATTTTCTTACAGACAATGAGTATTGCTGTGAAGACCACACTTAAAATAATTGTAAACATGGAGATCATCATTGGATATATAGGAAATGGTTTTATAGCACTGGTGAACTTCATGCTCTGGGTCAAGAGAAGAAAGATCTCTTTGTTTGATCAAGTTCTCACTGCTTTGGCAACCTGCAGAATTCTTTTGCTCTGTTCTTTGGTCATGCCTTTGTTGATACCTGTACAATTCTCAGAGATTTTGCTAGCCATAAAAACTGTAAGAATATCTAACATTATCTGGATAATAACCAATCATTTTAACCTTTGGATATCTACAATCCTCAGCATCTTTTATTTTCTCAAAATAGCTAATTTTTCTCACTCCATTTTTCTTTATCTAAAATGGAGACTTAAAAAGGTACTGTCATGTACACTTTTGATGTCTCTATTCTTTTTGTTTTTAAATATTGTACTGTTAAACATATGCATTGATGTCTGGTATGATGGATCTATAATAAATATATCTTACATTTCAAATCGAAGAAACTTTACACAGCTTTACAAATCTCTTATGTTCACCAACTCTATGTTCATGTTCATACCCTTTACTGTGTCCCTGACATCTTTTCTCCTGCTCATATTCTCCCTGGGGAAGCATCTGAAGAGGATGCAGCACAATGCCAGAGGGTCCAGAGATGTCAGCACCATGGCCCACATAAAGGCCTTGCAAACTGGAGTCACCTTTCTACTGCTGTATATTATTTTTTTATTTTCTGTTTCTGTACAAGTTTTGAGCCTTGAATTGGTTGATGATAATCTGATCACTTTATGGGATAGGGTTATTGCAATTGCTTTTCCTTCAGGCCATTCATGTGTCCTGATTCTGGGAAACAATAAATTGAAACAGGCCTCTGCTTTGGTATGGAGGTGGCTGAGGTGCAAGTTCAAAGATACAGAAACAAAGGATCCCTAACATATTTGGGAATATCTTGCATATTTTAGAGGTCCTCGGGTCTTGTAAAATTCTTGTGTTATAAATTTATGCTTTCCCAATTATTTTATTGTATGAAACTCTGTGAATTTTACAAATATGTATGTTTGCAATCAACACTAATCAACCATATTGCAAACTTTGCAGTATATTTATAAATATAT